ATGAGACTCCGTCTCAAAAAAAAAAAGTGTAACTTGAATGTTCCAGTTCTTATCAGCCTAGGGGTGCAAATAAGGTCACATTAACACTTACCCACAACTTTGCTGGCAGCTCACCCCTCATTTGCTCACACAGAACCTCAGCTTCCTTCAAAACGCCTCCCCAAAAGATTCTTGTAGCTATCCAAGAATGAGTTTCCTTTGTGAAGTACTGCGGCTCCCTCGTCTGTACTCCTTGGCAAGGAGAACTGACACAAACATGATATTCTTGCTGCTTGCTGTGCCGTGAGTAATAAAGTCCTTTCTCTCACACCAGGAATTGAATGTCCTCTGCCAACATTCATGAAGCAGTAATAGGCTAACTTACTAGCTTGTTAGTAGGGTAAAATCATCCCAGACCTGACACATGGCACAGGCTTGAGGTCAGGTGCTGTGTGGTGGTAACCACAAGAAGCTGTTCTATAGACTGGGCACAGTGGCTCCTGCCTGTAATCCCAGCACTTTGGGAGGCTGAGGCAGGAGGATTGCTTGAGCCCAAGGGGTTTGAAATCACCCTGAGCAATACAGGGAGGTTTTTTTTTTTTTTTTTTTTGTAGATGGAGTCTCACTCTGTTGCCCAAGCTGGAGTGCAGTGGCGTGATCTCGGCTCACTACAAGCTCCGCCTCTCAGGCTCAAGTGATTCTCCCACCTCCGCCTCCCGAGTAGCTGGGGTTACAGGCTCTCACTGCCACACCCGGCTAATTTTTTTGTATTTTAGTAAAGATGGGGTTTCATCATGTTGCCCAGGGTGTTTTTGAACTCCTGAGCTCAGGCAATCCACCCGCCTTGGCCTCCCAAAGTGCTGGGATTACAGGAATGAGCCACCGCGCCCGACCAATACAGGGAGATCTCGTCTCTATAAATTTTGTTTTTTAAATTAGCTGGCCATGGTAGTGCATGGCTGTGGTCTCAGCCACTTAGGAGGCTGAGGTGGGCGGATCATTTGAGCCAGGAGTTTGAGGTTGCAGTGGGACGTGATCACGTCATGGCACTCCAGCCTGGGCAACAGAGGGACGCTTTTCCTCTAAAAAAACTGGAAGAACGAACTGGTTGCTATAGCAGTGGCTGCCATAAGAAAAAGGTAAACAAAGGAATCCAAAGAGGTGTCTCTGCTGTCTCTGCAAATCTCATTAGCCACTGTCCTGCTTACTGTCAGCGGAGACTGGGAAAGCTAGTGCTCTCAAGCAAGAGCTCCCGTGACGGCTGGGCGAGGCGGCTCAATCAAGTCTGTAACCCCAGCACTTTGGGAGGCCAAGGCAGGCAGATCACCTGAGGCCAGGAGTTCGAGACCAGCCTGACGGTGAAACTCCATCTCTACTAAAAATAGAAACATTAGCTAGGCATGGTGGCACACACCTGTAGTCCCAGCTACTTGGGAGGCTGACGCAGGAGAATCACTTGAACCCAGGAGGAAGAGGTTGCAGTGAGTCAAGATTGTGCCACTGCACTCCAGCCTGGGGGACAGAGTAAGACTCCATCTCAAAAAAAAGAAAAGAAAAGAAAAGAACTGCATTTTCTGGTTTGAAATAACTGATATGAAATGACTTTCTTTCTTTTCTTTTCTTTTTTTTTTTTTTGAGATGGCGTTTCACTCTTGTCGCCCAGGCTGGAGTGCAGTGGCATGATATCAGCTCACTGCAACCTCCACCTCCCGGTTTCAAGTGATTCTTCTGCCTCAGCCTCCCAAGTAGCTGGGATTTTAGGTGCGTGCCACCACACCTGGCTAATTTTGTATTTTAGTGGAGATGGGGTTTCTCCATGTTGGTCAGGCTGGTCTTGAACTCCCGACCTGGGAGACCCACCCACCTGGGCCTCCCAAAGTGCTGGGATTACAGCCACCGTGCCCAGCCATGCACTGACTTTCAAAATATGAGGCTGTCAATGACCGTTGATTTTGAGGTGTATTCAATGAACCAAGTTGTCCCTGACTGATTTGATAGATTTATAACCTGTTCTAGTGGTTACTTGTTGGCTGTAGAACAATCTATCTTTTCCTAGGAGTGTGGGAACTCTGATTTGCATTGGAAATGTTTCTGTAACTCATTATATAGAAAGGGTCAATCTTCCTAATATACAAAGACCACCTAAGGTCAGGTGCAGTGGCTCCGCCTCATAATTCCAGCACTTTGGGAGGCCAGTGTGGTAGGACTGCTTGAGGCAAGGAGTTGGAGAATAGTCTGGGCAACATAGTGAGACCCTGTCTCTACCACCCACCCCACCAAAAAAAAAAAAAAATTCAGCCGGTTATTGTTGCTCACACATGTAGTCCTAGCTAATAGGGAGGCTGACACAGAAGGATCGCTTGAGCCCAGGGGTTCAAGGCTGTAGTGAGCTATGATCACGCCACTGTACTCCAGCCTGGCAACAGCAACATCCTGTCAAAAAAAAAAAAAAAATCTCCTAGAAATTGAGAAGAAAATGACCAACAAACCAATAGAAAAATAGGAAAAGAGCTCAAATAATTACAAATGGCTCAGAACACTGGGGAAAAAAAAAAGCCTAACCTCAACCTCAGTCATAATAAATGTTTTCACTTTCTTCTTTTTTTTTTTTTTTTTTTCGAAATGGAGGTTTTGGTCTGTCACCCAGGCTGGAGTGCAGTGGTGTGATCTCAGCTCACTGCAACCTCTGCCTCCCGGGTTCAAGCAATTCTCCTGCCTCAGTCTCCCAAGTAGCTGGGATTACAGGCATGTGCCACCATGCCCAGCTAATTTTGTATTTTTAGTAGAGACGGGGTTTCTCCATGTTGGCCAGGTTGGTCTCAAACTCCCGACCTCAGGTGATCTGCCCGCCTCAGCCTCCCAAAGTGCTGAGATTACAGCCATGAGCCATCGGGCCTGGCCACGAATGATTTTTTTAAAGCCAAAGAAAAGAGGAGTGGTTAGTTCAGAACCCTTTTGGTTGCCGTAGAAACTTAAGGCTTTTGCTATTACATAACATTAAAATTGCCACTTCCTCCGCTAAAGACCTAAGTCTGAGATAATTAGCTCTCATCGTGTTCTCAGACTGTGACCCATTCTTCCCAGCCCCAAAGGAACATTTGTTTTTAAGATTATGCTTTAAAAAGTACTACTGGTTTGCGCCCAACGTGTGGCAAGTAAAAAACAAATAAAAAGTACTATTCGTTTAAAAAGTTAAATTCTTCTAAAATCAAACTAGTTAAATTCATGTCATTTTTAGCTTTACCCAAATAAAAGATTTAAAATAAGTTTTCTAAGCATTTGCCAATAGAAGGAATCCATTCATTTTTTTTGTTTATAAGATTCTTTTCCACGTTGCCCAGACTCTTCTCCAACTCCTTGCCTCAAGCAGTCCTACCACATTGGCCTCCCAAAGTGCTGGAGATTCTTGAGATTCTGAGATTTTTAAGCAGTTTTCCAGTCAATAAACTGATAATAGTGTTGTACAAATTAAAGCACCTCTCTCGAGCTCTCTGTGGGTGGAAAGGTTCTCTGGCATGTTAAAACCAAGTTGATTTAGTATCATGTCAGTGCCTCCTGCTACAATTGTTACACAACTTCTCTCTCTTGATTTGTTGTAATGTAGGTTTACCCTGGAGAGTTACTTCATTATGATCTATTTTTAATTATTCCAATGCCCTCCTTTTTTTTTTTTTTTTTTTTTTTTGAGACAGAGTCTTGCTCTGTTGCCCAGGCTGGAGTGCAATGTCGGTTCACTGCAAGCTCCACCTCCCGGGTTCAAGAGATTCTCCTGCCTCAGCCTCCCAAGTAGCTGGGACTGCAGGCGCCCGCCACCATGCCTGGCTAATTTTTGTATTTTTAGTAGACATGGGATTTCACCATGTTGGCCAGGTTGGTCTTAAACTCCTTACCTTAGGTGATCCACCCACCTCGGCCTCCCAAAGTGCTGGGATTACAGGCCTGAGCCACTGTGCCCAGCCTGATCTGTCTATTAAAAGGAGGGCATTTGCTGGGCGCAGTGGCTCACACCTGTAATCCCAGCACTTTGGGAGGCCGAGACAGGCAGATCACGAGGTCAATAAATCAAGACCATCCTGGCCAACATGGTGAAACCCCATCTCTACCAAAAATACAAAAATTAGTTAGGCATGGTGGCAGACTCCTGTAATGCCAGCTACTCGGGAGGCTGAGGCAGGAGAATCGCTTGAACCCAGGAGGCGGAGCTTGCAGTGAGCCGAGATCACGCCACTGCACTCCAGCCTGGGTGACAGAGCGAGACTCCATCTCAAAAACATAAAATAAAATAAATAAAAATAAAGGTTCTTTAGTTTTCTCCTATAGATCCTTAATGAGGCTTAACCTCGCCCGGGAATTTGTGAATAAGCATCATTTTTCCACACATACTAATCCATCTTGTCTAGATAGGAGCTTTATAGGTTTGTGCCTTAGACATTTCGAGACACCTGAGTCCAGAATCTCTTAAAGGAAAACATCTCTGGTGTGTTTTCTTCCCTCTCTTGTCTTGTAGCGTCAAACCTGCCATCCTAAACTCTGCTGATATAAAAGCCTTTTGCCCAGACCCCTTTGCCAGTTGGCTTCCTGTAAAGTTCTATCACTAAGCGGTCCTAGGAAGGAGGAAGGGCAAAGGAGGCTTCTTTTTTTTTTGAGACAGAGACTTGTGTCACCCAGACTGGAGTGCAGTGGTCTGGTCTCGGTTCACTGCAAGCTCCGTCTCCCAGGTTCAAGCGATTCTCCTGCCTCAGCCTCTTGAATAGCTGGGACTACAGGCGCCGCCACCACACTGGCTAATTTATTGTATTTTTAGTAGAGATAGGGTTTCACCATGTTGGCCAGGCTGGTCTTGAACTCCTGGTCTAGTGATCTGCCCCCCTCGGCCTCCCAGCGCGCTGGGATTACAGCGTGAGCCCCCGCGCCCGGCCGAGGAGGCTGCTTCTTTGTTCCTCTTGTCCATGGTGCCCGGCAGTGCCAGTTGACTCCAGCCTCCAAATTCTTCCAGCCCTTCTAGAAGTAGACTCACTGCGACATTTCAGAGGTAGCAGCAGCAGCTGGGAGGTGCCTCCTCAGAGGTCTGCACACTTCTTCAGGGTCTGCAGAGTCCACTCACCCCAGCCCTCAATTCCTACCTTCCAGTCATCGAAACCCTTCCCTTTTGTTTCTCACCTTTGAAGTGGGGAGCCGCTTCCTCCGCTTACCGTCCTTAGGTGATCTCAGTGTTCCCTTTTCCTCCAAAACCTGTGTAACCAATTCCCTCTACTGAATACCCTCTGCTGAAATCCTTATCGTTGTTTCTGTTTTCTCAACCAGACCCTGAACAATATGCCCAGTTATAACCAGCATGAACAGAGCTCTCCTCCTCATCCTGCAACTCAAGAAGTCCATGGTGAGTCAGTCTGACCTGAAGTAAGAAGAGACAACTGAACATTTCCTGAGCCTTAAGACATGGAAAGCAATGATGAAAAGTATGGACAGGGGCCAGGTGCGGTGGCTCACGCCTGTAATCCCAGCACTTTGGGAGGCCGAGGCAGGTGGCTCACCTGAGGTCAGGTGTTCAAGACTAGCCTGGTGGAAAGGTGAAATCCCATCTCCTACTAAAAATACAAAAATGTACCGGGGCTGGTGGTGGCAGGCACCTGTAGTCCCCAGCTACTTGGGAAGGTAGGCACGGAGAATTAACTTGAAACCCCAAGAGGTGGAGGGTTGCCATTGAGCCGAGGATGGCGGCCACTGCACTCCAGCCCTGGGAGACAGAGCAAGAGTCCTTGTTCAAAAAAAAAAAAAAAAAAAGAGAAAGAAAAACAAAAAGAAAAGAAAGTATGGACAGGCACGACTCAATTTTATGATCCCCTTCCCGAGAGAGAGAGTTCGGAAATTCAAGTTGTAGGGAATCGCAAGCCTAATTTTAAGCAGCCTGCACCCACAAAAGTGTCCAAGTTGCCATCAAAATCACGTTGAACTTGGGTCCAAATGTTACAAATCCATGCAAAAACCAGGCAAAAATATTCTAGAAAAAATCATACTGAAAATTTAAAGTTATGATTGTTGTTATGGATGATCTTTACAATACGGAAATGAAGAAATGGGTAAAAATACAATGCAGGCTCAACTCTCCCCACATACAGACATCAACTCTCCAACAATACAGACCTCAACTCCTACAATACACACTCAAACTCCCTAGACAATACACACCTCAACCTACCACCACGATACAGAATCAACTTCTCCCACAGATAACGACTCAATTCTCCCACCAAATACCAGACTTCAACTTCCCCCCCCCTAACAATACACACTCAACTCCTACAATACACACTCACTCACCTACATACAGCAGACATCAAACTGCCCTCCTACAATCACAGACCTCAACTCCCCTACAATACCACACCTCATCTCCTACATACACACTCACTAACCCACGTTACAGGA